CCAAGCGCGATGGAGGCCTCAGGCCCATCGCGCTTATTCACATTTTGGCTCGCGTGCAGGGGGGGGGGCTCCGACAGCCTTTAGTCGCAGCTTGGCAGCAGCATCATGATCGCCCCTTCTGGTGGCCCACGTCTGGACGCTCCTCGGACAAACTGGTTTGGTTGCAGGCCTCAGCTGCGGAGTGGGGCAGAGCTCGCGGCTTCTCTAGCGCCCTTGTGCTTCTTGATCTGGCCAAAGCATTCGAGCATATCAGGCATGACGTCTTGTTGCAGGCAGCGCTGCGCACGGGCTACCCAGTGCGGCAGCTCAAGCTGTTGGCTGAGCTCTATCGCTGCCTTCGCGTGCTTGCTCTTGGCGAGGCGACGTCCACGCCGATTCGCACACTGCAGGCCGTGCTGCCAGGGTGCCATTTCGCCGCCCTTATGCTGCAGCTGGTGTTGCTGGCGCCTCTAGATGCCGTGCAGGCAGCGTTGCCGCGCATGCATCTCGGCAGCGTGGTGGGCGATTTTGGTCTGCAACGGCTCGGCAGAGAGGAGGATGTTGCTTCAGAGCTCGCTTGTGCCACTCGACTGCTGCATCCGCAGTTGAGAAAGGTCAGCTTGCCCGTCGCTTTTAAACAAAGAGTAGGGTTGTCGCATCCAGTGCTAGGCCCCGCGGGCTCCTCGAGGCCCGACTTCGCTCGGTCAGGCTCAAAGGGGTTCGCGCTGAGAGGAACCTTGGGATCGACTTTGCCGCTGGGAATGTTCACGAGCAGTCTGTCCGTGCTAGCAGAAAAAAGCCTGCCGTCGCCCGAGCACGCAAGCTGCTGGCTCTTTCCCCTTTTGTACGTAAGCGGCAGCTACGCACAATCATCCGCAGCGCTGCCCTCTCTTCGCACACCTACGGGTGCAAGGTGCTAGGCACCACTGGCACAGATCTTAGGCAGGCGCGCATGATGCAGGCTCGAGTGCAGGCGAACAGTCTCGACGGCAAGAGTGTGGCGCTACTGCTCATGCTCAGCGAACGTCGGCATATTGACCCTGCATACGAACTGCAGTGTGCCCCTCTGTTGCAGTATGCTACCGCGGTGTGGGAGCATTGGGACCCACGAGCGATACTGGAGCAAGGATTGCGAGATGCCGTTGAGAGGTTCACCGATCACGGCAGTCCTTGGGCCAGTATCCGTGGCCCTTTTTCTGCGTGTGCTGTTGCAGCTTTGCGGCTTCGCATCAGCATGCAAGGTTTTGTATGGTCGCATCCTCGACGCGGTGAGGTATCTATTTTGCAGTCAGGGCCTCGCACCGTCCGCAAATGGCTCCATTATGTCGTGCTGCAGTGGCTCTGGGAAAAAGTGGCTTCCAGAGAAGGTGTTCCTGAGCTCTCTTGGGTGCAATTTTCAGCCCCTGCAGGCCTTCTTAGCCTCCACAGGCCTCAGACATGACGAGAAGGCCTACCTCAGGAGCGTTGTCGCTGGGGGACAGTGGCCTCAGCATCGTCAGTGGCTTTCGCAGTGCACCGCTGACCCCCTCCGCCGCTTGTGTCAGCAGGCCCCTGGCACGCTCTTGCATCGTCACGCGGGCTGTGCGGGCCACGACGACATCGCGGCACAGGGGGTCCCACCTGATTTCTTGGCTTCAGTTGTCAGGGATAGCGTTGACCCTCTCCCTCTCCTCTTCGCCGAGAGGCTCCTCGCCCCCGAGGCTCCCCTTCCTCCTGCTAATACGCTCCCCGGTCGGTGGTTCGGCGGAGGACCCGCCGAGATGGCAGGGCGCGTCTTTCTTGACGCCAGTTGGATGGACCAGCACCTGCCGCCCGCGTCTCAGGCTGCGGGCTGGGCCATCGTCAGTGTGCAGTCGCAACATCCGTATAAGGTAAATTCGGTGATGTGCGGCACCCTCCAGATCGTCTGTCAAGATATTGACTGTGCTGAGCTGTTTGCTTTCAACTGTGCTCTGCAGCACTGTGCACCAGGCGGTATTTTTTACACCGACTCAGGTTTCGTCCGCGATGGAGTTTACCAGCGTGGCAAGGCCTACTGTTGGTTGGCGCGTGCTGCCTGGTCTGAGTTATGGGTCCAGGTCTGGCGCCGCATTGATGACTGGGGCGGCATCGAGTGCATCGGCCTACGCAAGGTCAAAGGTCACTGCACCGAGGCGCGCATCCAGTCAGGACTTTCCACGCGTTTTGAAAAAAGAGGGCAATGCGCATGCCGATGAATGGGCTCAGTGGATGGCCTCGAGAGCCCGTGTTGACCCTGAGCTCCGCAAGGTTCGTTGTGCCAAGGCCCTCGTGCTCTCTCAATGGGCGTCTTGGGTTGCGCGCATCGGGCCTCGCATGTGTGACGTTGATTGCGACCGCGTCCCTCGTCGGCTGCGCAAGGCTCGTGGCCTTGGTGCGGTGGACCGCCCTGTGACTAGCCTAGTGGTGGAGCCCCCGCCGCCAGTCACGCCGCGCATCCTGTCGAGAGCCGACCTTGCCTCTGTGCGCGTGCAGCTTGCGGATGAGAGACCGCATGTCATGC